CTATATATCTATATACCAGTTTCAAAACAAGAGCAGGGCGGGAGGAACAGAAGAATCGGTGCACGGTCTATGCATAGAGGAGGCGTGAGTGGACGTGCAGAGTCTGAAAAGTGTTTTCCCCCCGCTTCCCTTTCCGAGGGCATCTGACTGGGAAACCTCATAAAATTCCCCTTCCTAGAAGGATGGAAGGTATAAAATGGGGAGCCGACACCCCCAGAAGCCAGATGGCAGACCTTTCTTCCACCCTCCTTTTTTTCCTGCCTTTAGGAACACTTCTCACCGTGAACTTTTGGGGAGAAATGCATCCCACGTGTGCAAACCACTGCCGTCTGAAACAATTGCATACGTGTTTTTTAAATGCCATATTCATGCGGCTGCCACCTCTCCCTTTCCTGCTTTTTGCTGATAATTCCCCGGGTTGTTGGGGGACGGGGTCGCTACCTGTTGGAAGGTCCAGGGTACTGTGGGTTTAAATCAGCATTTTCAAACTTGGCCACTTTAAGAGGCATGGGCTTCAACTCCCAGAATTCCCCACCCAGCCTTGCTGGCTGGGGAGTTCTGGGAGTTGAAGTCCACGCCTCTTAAAGTAGCCAAGTTTGAAAAACGATTTAAATGATAATGCGGTGGGGGACAGAAGAGAGCTTCCTGGTGTATCACAAGCTAGCATATCAGATGCATGTGTGCTGGGTTTTTTTTTTACAGGCAGAGATTCTTTTTTTAAAAAAAATCTCTCTCCCATGGGTGATGCAACTGAAAATTCTTGGGTAATCAGCCCCTTGTCTCACAACATATGCAATCGTCCTTGGGTATTTGAAAGCTGGTTAGCTGGCTTACACGGGCCTGGAAGGACATGCTCGTCTTTGGAGGGTCAGCAGCCAGTGGTGACTCTCCCTAATTTGTTTCATGTTTTTATTCCAAATGTATATTTGTTTTGTTTTTTTATGTGGCGAGCCGCCCAGAGTTGATTTGGAGCTGGGCGGCGCCTCTGTCAAATAAATAAATAAATAAGGGATTGAATCTTATTGGTGTATATAAAAAACAAAGCACTCACCTATAAAAATCAGTTAAATTTGTTTTAATTTTTAAGAAAAGAGCTTTTCTTGTAGTAATGGAGTCCTTCCCTCCCCCCCCTTTTTTTTACATGCTTTAGAAATTTGGCATGATTTTGTTGTTGGCAGATCCTAGTGTTTCTCTCCTTGCATCATAAAATTGTATTTTTTTTTTTTTAAATCACATATATGGTTTCAGATCTGGGCTGCAAAAATCTCAGGTGGCAGCAGAGAGTTTTATGTACCCCTTTTCTGCAATCTAGTTAGCGCTCCTCTGGAATTTGCAGCCCAGATCCAGACGCTCTAATTACATGACTATTCTCTGTGGTTTCTGCAACTTAATTTCATTTCAGTATTTATTTTTGTGTTGCTTTTTTATTATGAAATAAATTATTGACATATCAAGTAATGTGGGTGCCTGTCTTGTGAGGCGTGTGGTGTGCGTCTGTGTGTGTGCGTCCAATCTGTTTTCGTTTGACACCCTCTCCCCCATGTTAATTTATTGCTGTAAATTTTAAGCTGCAACCGTTGTGGCTTTTTGGTAACCTTTCCAATAAAGCATTTTCTGGTTTCAGATTGGATCTTGTCTGTGATCAGAGTCGTTGAGAGTCAGGCGGCATACAAATTTAAATTCTTCTTCTTCTTTCTTCAATGCTTTATCTAGTACAGTGGTTCCCCCCCGCCAAACTTGGCAACTTTAAGAGGTGTGGACTTCAACTGCCAGAATTCCCCAGCCAGCATGAAGTCCACCTGTCTTAAAGCATGCTGGCTGAGGAATTCTGGGGATTGAAGTCCACACCTCTTAAAGTTGCCCAGTTGGAAAAACACTGATCTAGTAGCATTCTGAAGCTTATGACCCCCTCTGGAAGGTAACAGAGAGGGAACATTTTTATGTAATTTTGCAGGTAGCAGACAGTGTCACCTTACTGTAATAAAGGCCAATAAAAAGGATCATACAGTGATTATCAAACTCCCCTTGCTGGTCACCGTCAAGCCAACTGTTTACAAGGGAGGGAAGAATCAGGGTTGATTTGAAAGCTCAGTTTTGCGCTCTGTCTGAAGACGGAATGCAGCCACAGAGGTAGATCTCGGTTGCGCAAAACAAATCTAAGATCGCAGAAGATGAGAGAAAATGACATTCCTTACACCAGGAAGGCTAAATTACGAATGGCCAGCGGGACCTACATGCCGGCTGCAGCATAGGGCGAAGAGTTCTTCCTGTTTTACGTTGACAGCTGGAAAGATCCTCTACCATACTTCAACACCGTGATACTTCCTTTGTTTTCAGTTAAGTGAACTGTAGCACCAACTATTCAACCGCAACCCATCCCAAATTCGACCAGAGACTTCTGAATTGGTATGTTTTCTGACTGCAGCCAAAACACTCAAGCGGGGTTGGGTACTCTGAAAGGGATTTGTCAGTATTAGACAGCACTGGGAAAAGTATTACAAATTTTTATGTAACTTATATTTTTGAAATGTACAGATTTACACTTGAGATTCATAGCAATCACTCTGGAAGCTGGAACCCCCAAAACAGGAAGTATATAAACAGAGTCACCCCATGGGGAAGTCGTGGTGTTCACACCAGCTGCTGACAACCTCTTAACACACTTCAGCCTTTACCCCAACGTTGTGCTGGCTGGAAATGGTGGGAGATGAAGTCCACCTGAAGTCCACCACCTGAAAGAAGTCAGTTTGAGGAAGGCTGCTTTGTCCCTGTGTGGACCTGCCGTATAGGTGTTTGGAAGCAGGCCTCACATGGAAGGATTTTAAAAGTAGTGCTGATTTTGCCTTAATATTCTCAATTATCTCTATTTCTGCTATGGAGACCAACTTGGCTTTTGAGACATTCCAAATGCCAACGTCCTGATCTCCATCCATTCCACTGGTTTACCAAAATAGCCTTCAATGCAATCCTATCCCTCTTTTTTACAAGATAAAGTCACAATTCCTCTGACATCCAAGATAACCACTAGGAATGGAAGCTTTTCAGCCCCAATGCAACTTCACAAAAGAATCTGACTCTTTAATTCCTCACCCTGTTTCAGCACCTTGTGGTGGGAAGGAGCGTTGGAAAGAAAAGTGCTTTTATTTCCCTGGGACTCCAAGCTGTTCATTCCCAGCCCAGTGGATCAGACCCACAAACAGAGGGATAGCAGTGGGAATCCAGTTTCAGTGGGACTGAGCTGCAACAACTGCTGAACGAGGAATGTTGATTCCATCCAGTTTAGTCCATTCCTACGTTCCCTTGTTCCTTCTCTGTGCCTATAATCAGTATCTTCTCCATGCGCTGGGGACGTGAGGAGCTGCATCCATTGAGAAATTCTGCTGTTTTCCTCAATCTTCCTGGCTGCCAGGCACTGAGACCAAGAATAAGTCCGGCAGGAACTCCTGGCTATTTTTGCCACAACAACAAATAACAAGTGATTGTAGCCCAAAGAGGAGGCCTGGTTGTATTTAGGAAGTCAGCCCTACGTAGCATCTTCCCCCAATAGCCAGTTGAGAGAACAAGAATGAGACACCTCCCTTGCTTCATTCACCAACGTCGTCTGATTCGGTTGGCAGCTGTTGAGCTGGAGAGAGGCAAGAAGATCTGTCTAAAATACAAAGTCCCCTTCCTTGAAGATGCACGTTACAGCTCATCGTCGGAGATTATCAGCACCCTTTTCTCAAGACTCTTATTCTTCTTGCTCTGCGAGCTCTCCACCTGAGGGCCCAGGTGGCCATTCTGTTCAAGCCCCCCACCTTCCGCCTCCTGCATGGATTGCTGTGTGTAGTGTTGGTAGGTTGGGGAGAAATTATGGATGGCATCTTGAACTATATCTTGAGGACTTATAGTTTCCTTCAGCCCACTGGAAATGCTTTGCAATGGGGCAAGACCTGCTAGAAGCAGAAGAAAGAGACAAGAAGAGAATCAATGGGCAAGTATACTTTTTCAAGGAAGCAGTTCAGTTCACTTGCACCTACCAGCCTTCTACGAAGTTGAAACCCAGTATATAACTGATTACTGGAGGTGGCACAGGGTCCACTGCTGATGGAGTTGTTATACCTTTTCATCTCATTGAAATCTCCCTAACGCTTCCCAAAATGCAAGAGCCCCATAGGAGAAACGTCCCTCTTTAACAGATGTGTAGGAAGCTAGGGAGGCCATAGGCTCCTGGGGAGAGAATTTTATAAAGAAAACAGGCTATTCCCGCCATCACTCCTTGGCCATCTTCTCACTAAATAAGTAAGAACACGCTCCAACTTCGGACATTTCAACCAACTTCTCTTTTGAAAGACACTTGAAAACAATTATTTTTAATCAAGTTGAATGAGAACTGGAAGGAAAATAAACATGCAGAATTCTTGCTCATTGGCACTAGGAAAAGAATCGAGACGCCAGCTGACGTTTCTGCTGGCTCATCTCTTCCTTTCGCTGCCTACTTCTTGTATAACTGAAGGGTGTTCACTTAAATTACCTGTTGCGCTTTCCTTTTTCTCTTGGTACACCTGGCAGGTGAAAGCATAACGGAGAGCAATGGACGCAAACAGCATCTCAATACAGATGATGAAGTTCTGGTATCCTGCCGCCACGGTTCCAGCTCCCACCGCCTTCCCGTCGATGATCTGGACCTCCGGGATCACCCCACACTTCTCTAAGATCGCCAGCAGCATCCCTGCATAATGGGAATGGTTGCAAAGCATCATCAGTGTGAGGATTTGGTTTTTCAGGCTCACAAGTGGACCTGTCGGCCCTAGGTTCACAAGTGGATATTTCCTACAGGTCCAAGAAGCGTTTGAAGGAACCTGCATAATTGTCCCGCACCAGAATTGCTCTGAATCACAAGATCCTGCTAAGAGTTTTTAAAAGAGTTTTTTTAATGAAAGATGTTTAATGACAAATCACCCCTCTGCCCCCAACCCAGTTTTCCTTTTCTCAAATCTCGGGGTGGGAAGGATCAGCATTCCTAAAAATATAAGAGTCCTACTAGAACAAGCCAATATTCCGGGCAAGCTCATATTTCATTCAGTATTTATTTTCCAAGGGAGAGGGACTTCTCAAGGCTTTTGTTTTGTACACACATGTGTCTTTCAAAATTTGGAGTTCTCCTAGGCCAGCTGATACCATCTGTATTGCTATAAAAGAATCAGCACTCACAATGGAAATACCAACTCTAGAAAGAGTTAGGATGATTTATTCTATGTTGATTTTGCGCTTTCTCCAAGAAACTCAGAAAAGGGGCATCTTCTTTCTCTCCCCACGAAATAATGACATCCAAAATACATTAAGCTGATAGAGGATGGCTGTCCCTGGGTCATGAAGCATACTTCGTGGATTAATGGAGAACTGAACTCCCACACTTCAGGCCTTCAACGCAGCGTCCTACCCATGACAGGAAAGGGAGCAACTCACCTTGCCAAAAGGAGAGGAAGATGACTGCCTTGATGGTGAGAAACTTGAGGACTGGCTCAAAGGGCCTAAGGAGCTCCGTGGTGGCAAAGTAGAAGAGGAAGAGGGCATAGAGGGCCAGGCTGACTGAGAAGTTGTAGATTATGGTGATATAGAGGTACCCGCTGTGGATGCTGGAGAGCAAAGTGTTCAAAGAGGCAGAATTCCTGTTAGGAAGCATCCCCTTTCCAAGCCTGTCCAAGTTCACACAAAACAGGCTGGGAGCCAGACCTTTTCCCTGCTCCTCCCCTTTCCCCCTCCATTCTCACTTGAAATCGCCATCGTGGTATCTCCCAAACGCTTGGAGAACAATGGTGATGACTGCCATGACAGGCTTGACGATGCAGAACTGCAGCGTGGCCTGGAAGGAAGCAGATGACAACGAAGGGAGGGCTCAGTTGAAACCACCCAGTTTCTATGCCTCTGTTGTCCCTAGTCACTTAATTTACACCTCAGTTTTTTGTCCAAACCTAGGACAGGCAATCTGATATACCCCAAGCGTCCCACAAATGCTCCCATCTGCCTTGGTGGTTGCTAGGAGTGATGGAAGCTGGTGTCCAGCAATCAGGAAGGCAACCAATTCCCTGTGCTAAGGTTGCACTTTCATAGGCTGAGTTGCAACGGTCTCCCTCTATGCCTATAAAGGCAGGAGAGAGGTAAATATTTCACACAACTAACAGAACGCTAATCTGCAAGATTGCACCAGGGGAAAATGCTGAAATAAGTTTGAAAAAAAAATAAAGAGAACAGCTTCCCTGGAAGCAACATGGAAGTGAAAACTGATCAGCTGTTGCTCTGTTCTATGAGATGCAACTCACCTGCTTGCAAAACCTGAGAAACCCAATTGAGTAGGACATCCCTTGGAGACAGCAAGTGCCATAGAGACAACTAGACCTAAGAAAAAGCAGAGCCGTAAATCAGCACAGGCATGGGACCTTAAGGATACGTTGGGCATGGAATACTCCCAACTGTAAGCAAGGGATGGATGTAAGTAATAGTCTACATACACAACGGGCTTCCCTCGGATTTCGGCCATGATGGTGCTCTCTCCTCCAAGGTATTCAAAGCAGAGGCTCAGAAAGCTGTAAATCACAAATGCTGCAAAAGAGAGACATGTATTCAGTATTAAATGTGGTGGAAATTGTAGCCAATTCACAAGATTTTAAGTACGACTGACTTTAATCCATGCATGTCTAAGTCTCTACAAATGGGGTGTCCCGGAGGAAAAAGGTCCTCTGCTTCTACGTTAATTTCCGAGAAACACTTCTCACTTCCCTGTGTGGCTTGTGTAAAATTTTGCCCTTTGAACTTGGGCCCGTCAGCTCAGTTTGCTACAGAATGCCTACGTACACGCCCGCCGATGGGGCACTAAATCCTCCAGGTACAGCTGTGAATCTCAGCTCACCCTCATAGCAGTCCCGCACCGAGTCGAAGTAAATGTAGTATTGGTGACTGCCAATCAGCAGGAGACTAAGCCAGGAATCAAAGGCATAAATGGGAACAATAAAGAGAATTCGGATGATATAGCGCTGCTCGTTGGGGATGGTGTAATTCTTCAGATGCAAGAAGATCTAAGAGAAGAGAAAAAGGAGGGAAGACGCACAACACAGGATCAGATATGGCATTTCCAGGGAGAAAAACACAATGTTAGGGATCTATGTGCTCTAGCTAGCTTTGGATGTGATCACTGGTATTCATACAAGCCCATTTGTCCCCTCCAAAGACCATCTTAAGAACAGCAGGATCTGGGGGCATGAACACGCACACACCTGCTTGTGTGGTCTTCAACCTGGCATTAGATACAGCCGCAGGGCTCACAAGGTTGCTGGGTTCTTCACCAGCAGTGGGAAATCTGTGGCCGTCCAAAAGTGCTTGCTCCACAAGTCTCAGAAGTTTCAGACAGCATGGCCAGTGGCGAAATACTAGGCGTGGCAGTTCTGTAACTTCCTACTTCTAAAGGGGGTACACTTTTGATGGAAACAGAAAGTGAACAAGCAGCCAGGGAGGGTGAGAGGGTAAGGTCTTGCCAGCAGGCTGGAAATAACTGCCATCATTTTTCTATAAAATACCAGAATTGAAAAGCAGTAGAACTTCCTACGCAAATATGGCAAGCCTCTACAAGCTTGCCCAGAGAGAAAACCCTATTCAACTCAGAAGGCCTAGCTGCCTTCCTTGGGTAAGATACAAACCCTGCAAGGTATGATGTTACCCCCGCCAGAAAAAGAAAAACCATTATAAAGAAAGCAACAAAATCATCAAAGCACGGGATCCCTGTTTCCAAGTTGAAAACAGTTTCCCCTTTTCTTTCTAAGAACAACTGGATAAGCGTCTGAACACACACACAGTGCCACGATTCAAATCCGGGGTGGCCACTAGAAGCTACAGAGAAGTTCTACATAGATAGCATTGTCTTCTCAGTCTGATGTGTAGGAAGCAAGTCTCCCTATAACCTCAACAGACAGCCATGGCCTTTGGCGATCTTTCCCCAGACTGGTGCCTTACAGATGTGGACCACATCCTATCCCATCTTAGCCAGCCAGCAGGAAAGATGGAGTCCAACAGGCCCGCGCAGCACTACCACCTACCTGGTGGAACGTAAGGAACAGAGCCGTCCAGACAAAGAGGCCTGAGATTACTTTTGCCGTGGATGTGGTCAAAAAGAGGGGCTGAGTCTCCTGGGAGTGATTTTGATCAGCCCTTAGCTGGGAGCCGTCCTCCACAATCGAATGGCTGGAATCCACCAGAGGAGAGAAGAAATCTAACCGGAACGAGGTAGGAACCATGCTGGATGTCAGGAGGTTTTCTGGGGCGGGAGAAGACTGGTTGGTGTGCATCGTGGTATTCATCTGCTGGAGAGGGAAGAGCAAAGGTGAACTGGTTAGGGAGGAGCACCGCACAAGGAAAACTGCCTAGTAGCAGGAAAAGCTCAAGGTAAGCTGCTGAATGGAAGCAGTCCCCTTGTCAAGTCCTTCTATGTTCTTCTTTTTCATCTCTCTTGACCCCAGCTGAAATTGTCCTTTCCCTTCTCCAAGGAGTCCATTGTGGCACTCCGGAGTTTCCAGCCCGCGAGATCGGCTGGGCCAAAAGAGATGGGTGCCCAGTCAACAAGTAAACTTCCCCAGCAAGAGAGAATTTGGATCCACATCCAACACGCTAACCCTATTCAAAATAGGGGTGTGCTAGGTGAACTTGCCCACGCTCCTGGGAATGGCAATTTGTTGGCTTTGGGGTATGGAAATGGATAGCCCTCACGACTGGAGAAGTAATATAGTTGAAAGCTTAAAATTATCCCATCACCCAGTAAACACGCCTGGAAAAGATTTGGACAGGCCAGACATCTTTGCTTGGTTGGGGGGCTTTGCCCATCTCATTAGCAGATGCAGAATTATATTTACATTTGATTGAAACGCTCCTATTCGAACAGACTGCTGCGCCCTGTTTTTCTTACTACGGAGGAGGTTTAAATATATCCCTCGTTAATACCCCGAACAAAACACAGCAAAGTATCTATTTTACACACAGCCCGCTGTGGCTGCCAACGATGCAGCCGCTTTAAAGCACCACAGACCAGGGCTACTTTTTGGAATCTAACCCAAAGCGTTGCACAGCCTTGACAGTTACACTAACGGCACACCCTTTATATCTAAATAAGAAAGTCACACGATGCTCAAACGTCCAGAAATTGCTGTTATATTTCCCAACTGCTGGGGTTAAAAAGAAAAAACGCCCTCTTGTTCCTTTCAGTTCCGATAGAACAGAAACGACGATTCCTTTCTTTGACTTGAGAGATTCCACAAAGACAGCCCAGCGGATATTGGGAGCAAGTCCAGCAAGCGCCTTGCAAGGTTGCAGATCTCATTTCTCCCCTTAGTGCCGGGCCTCTGTTTGCAAACTCCAAGCTAAGCAAGATCGTCACGCGTCCAAGATTCCAGGACCAAAAGGGGTGTGGAGCTCCTGCGCTGTATATCCTGATTATTCCAGACGTCTCTTTCCTAGCATCAAACTAATAATACGCTTGTATTTTGAGGGAGCGCGTTGAGAGAGTCCCTTCGATTATCCCCTTTCCAACTTTAGCTGTTCATTCCTTACATTTATCCCACCTTCTATTCTGGGAATTAAAATGCACCCGCGCGCACACACACAATTTTTCCAAGGAAGGCAATCATTACAAGAATAACTTTATGATAGATGAGCAACAGAAGATAAAGAGCAGCTGCTCCGTTTTATTCGGCTTTGCTTAGTTTAGGTGTGGTAAATTCTGCTCCCCTATTTGCTTGCCAAGGAGAAGCCGTCAGTCCCTATATAGGCATTCTGTACAAAATATACCTTTTCTCAAGAGGCTTAGGGTTACCACACCCTCTGCCTTTGCAGCCCAAACAGCCCCAGGATGTCATTCCTTCCTCCAAAACAACCCTACTTTTTATGAACCCTCCCACTGTTACGGTCCCTACAGCTCATTTCAGGAAAGCATTGGAATAGAATCGCTTTTTATAGCGATTCTGTAAAAAAAAGCAAAAATGGATCACTTGAGTTTTAGGGCTACAGTCTTGCACGTATCTGGAAAAAGTGCCATCCCACCCAAAGGCTTGCACAATCATGACTTTCCCCACTGCCAGCATCTAATGTTCGCGCTATAAATCTGGAAAGATTCACAAGACTAAAATAATAGTTTTGGAGAGACGAAAAGGACACATCTGTCTTTAGAGACATGGACACGTGTATGCCAAGAGATATCCACTTCGAAGACCTGTCCCTATTTTCTTTCCATGGCAGGTATGGCAGCGCCTTTGTGAAAAGACCAGCCAGTACAACTACTCAAAACAGCTGCCCCATTTTAAGTACGTCCATTAAAAATAATTACATTTTTTAATAAAGAGGCAAATGGGCAACTTTTTTAAATTAAAAAGTTGCCCGTTTCCCTACAGCCTAAGAATAATGAACAGATCAAGCTGTCATTAGCCAATTACAGTGTTATCTGTAATTAAGAAATGCTTTGGTTAAGATTCATTCATTCATCACAGACTTTGGGAGACGGAAGGGCCCCACTCTCTGCTCAGAGCAGGAAACAATTAAGACATCCTGTCCAACATCTGTCTGAACACATCCAATAAGAGGAATCCACCCATGTCTGAATAAGGGGCTATTTATTTAACCTGGTTATATCACTACTACCCCAATCCATAATTGTTGTTTTTTGATTTGATTTCCAACTCATCTAATTTGGCTTCAATGCAACTGGCGTACGATCTTAGAAAGCCCACCATTTCAACAGACGAAAGCAATCGCTTATTTGAAAGGAGAAGACGACCATCTCTGGGCAACTTAAAATATCCACCCCCTCCCTAACTTTCTACCTTATCTGTTACATTTGCCATTGCCAATTCACCCAAAGCTTTCAGATATTCCGTTACCTGTCCAGCAAATCCAGGCTTCCAGAGTTCGCGAAGGGCAGGTGGAAAAACCACCACTCTCGTGAGCTTTCCAGACCTGTGGTCTTTGTTATGAACGCGTAACGTTCACGTATGCCCTCTTTAGCTCCTGGGGTTGGCCTCTCTCCAGGGCAAGACACATGCTTACTCACCCCCATGCGGTCCCTGGTGCAGGAGTTTCAGTTGAATTGCACTTACAAGTACATGAGGAGCCTAAAAATACAACTCTCCCTGCCCCTAGGAGGGGGGAAGGGGAAGCACAGGGTGGAGGAACTCACTGATCTGATGAGTAACTCCAGCTGGTGGGTTGGCTGAGCAGTTCCCCAGCCAGAAACTTCGAGCTTAACCCGGAAACCACAGCATTGCACGATGGACGATGCAGCTAAGAAGTTCGGATTCAGAAGTTCAGATTCTCCAGGCCCCGTTCAGTTGGCCACCACAGCCCTCCCGAGGATCGTATGTCCTGTTCAGTCAACACTTGCTCCTCTGTGGCTATTGGGGAGCTGGGCAAGGAAAGAGCCTTGGGGCCAGGTGCTCCCTGGCACTAGTCACAACATAAACATTAACCCGCTGGCAAGACAACATCAAGCTGGTAGCCAGGGAAAGAGAGTGGCAGAGGACCAAGATGGCATTGCCTTTTTCCTTGTTTGCTTTTCAGCTGAACCTCGGAATAACACAAAAGTAGTCCTACCGGCTGGGAGGCAGCCGAAATCCGCTTTAAACAGGTAAATAAATAACCCAAAGAGACCCGTGCTAGAAGATGAAGAAGCAGATTGCGAAGGACGAAAACTTCTGTGAAAAAAAATATTAGTTTTTAAGGCACCAGAAGATTCCCTGCCTTTTTCTGCTATTAAAAAGGATTCTTAGCTTCCCGCTGAAGACCCAGTTTGCAAAGGAGCGATGTTCCTTTACTGGTTCTATGACAGCCCAGACAAAAAAACCAGATTGGACAGGGAGAATTATCATTTGGCTGGGTAAAATTTGAGCTGTTCTTTAAACATGTAAACTGCATCTCTAGGGATTTATTTGGAAGAAAGAAGGGTTAAGCAAGGTTCAGAGCCTATGCCAAAATAAACTACACACTTTTCTTCAGTGTTTCTTTTTAGGAAAAAGCCTCTCTTTCAAGAAAGTTTTGCAAAGATGAACCCAAAAATTAAAAACTCGGCCTTCTGCAAGGTAACACAACTGATGGATGAGTTGAGATTTGGGCCAATGCGTGAATTACTTCCAAACTGGATCTAAAATTATGACGATGCTCCATCGTCTTCATCATTACTATCATCATCAACGGCGCGACAAAGTAGCAACAATGGTGCATGGGAATATCTGAAAGAAATACCATTTGCCAGCCAGCAAGAACTGGTGGGACCACAAAATAAAGTGCTCTGGGACTTTAGAATTCAGACAGACAAGCACCTGCCACACAACACCCCAGACTTAACAACGGTGGATAAAAAAGGCAAAAAAGTCTGGACAGTGGGCATTGCAATACCTGGAGACAGCAGAAGAGAAGAGAAAGAACTGGAGAAAATCACAAGATACAA